AATTCTCAGGACGCCCAGCAACGCACAGGAAGGGTTGAAGGGCCCCTGGGGCCTGGAGCAAGAGTGGTAAATTTTTACCTAAGGACATCCCCCTCCCTAAGGCCTGGCCGCCGGTGAGCAGGAAGAGGAGTGATGAAGGCAGCAGGAGGGAGGGAATCAAACTTGTCTAACAGGTGTGTGCGTGGCCGCCTTTTATTTTGGTTTTACATACGACTTCGTTTGCGAATACTTTGAGGAGCATGTAAGTGTGAAATTGGAAGGCATTGCGGCAGGCTGCCACGAGCCACTGCACTGATAGGAGAACGTAGGGAGAGGGGCGGGGGAGGGGGGTGTGGTGGGGGGACCAGGGGAGGAGGGCGCTGGGGAGAAAGGGGATGCTGAGGTGCAGACAGACCGAGGGATGGCAGGTGAGGGAGCAAATGGGGCTCCAAGTTCATTTCTGTGGGCCGTCATGGCTGTGAGCACCTCTTGGGCGCATGGACCCTTGCAGGGTGTGTGAACCATCTGGATGCTGATAAAAGCTCATGTCGCAGCTTCCAGTAGGTAGTTTGGGGTCCCGGATGTTCAAGCCTCATGCTGGTGTCTCCTGCTTTGATCCCTCAGGCTCACCCTGATTCTTGCTTTCTGGCACTTTCTTTCTGTCTTCCTCGCCTGGCATGAATGCTCCATGACAGGCTCCAGAATTTGCTTCCCTGGCACCTGGAGGGCTCCCACAGGAAGTTACCGGGCAGGGAGAGATCAGTGACTGACACCATGTGGCCCACCAGCACTGCCGAGACCCCTGGAAGCCCCCCAATACTGCAGGGCCCAAGCAGTGCTGCATCCAGCGGCCAATGGCCAGGGGGACCCCTGTGCTTCCTGAAAACCGCTTGGGAGGTCCCAAAATAGAGAGGAAGTTACCTGGTAGGGTGGCAGAGGGGGTCTTTTATGTCTATTTCCCACCCGCAGCCATTTATTTTCCTGGTTTCCTCTTGGAGATTCCAAAGAGCCTATTAACTAGTGACCCACTGCCCCTGCACCCACGTCCACCCTGGGGTCTTGTTGGCAGCAGAGCAGGCCACCCCCAACCCTGCGAGAGGCTGGGAGTTCTGGCTGTGATCGGTAACTGGGAGAACTATGTCTTGGCTTCATTTACGTAACCAGCCGGTCTGCAGAACAGGGGTGCGGGCCCTCCCACCGAACGCGGGGTGAAAGGGAAGGTGCCTCCTCCCCCCGAGTCTGAGAACCTGAAGTGCTCAAGGAAGGACACTGACCTGGGATCACATGGACACGGCTTCACGGTTCCGTGCATGCCAGCACCCCCCCGCCATGAAGAGGTTCTTCTACAATTCTAGCAGACCGAGCCAGCAGTGGAGGGGAAGATGAAGACAGAAGTGAGCAGGGCTGGGCAGTCAACAGCAGCAGCGAGGAAGCCAAGGGGCTAGGAAGCCCTGAAAATGCTCTGGGTTCAGCCAGGGCAGCCCGCGCGCGCGCACCCACCCTGCAAACGGCTCAGCTCTCACTAGCGTGTATCCATTCGTGTTTCACTCGGGTATTTGAGCCACGCCCGGTGAGGCTCAGGAACCACTCCTGGTAGTGCTCTGGGATCCACAGGTGGTCCCGAGATGACACTGGGGTGGGCTGCGTGCAAGGCAAGTGCCTTAACCGCTGTCCTCTAGGGCAGGCTGGCGCTTCTGTCTTGTACACGGTGACCACCTCTTCGGGCTCTGCAGCCGATGCTCCGGTGGCCACCAGGGGCCAGCAGGCTGATGCAGTTGCCTGGGGACATGCCAGGTGCAAAAGGTGGGACAGCTCTCCCATGGGGCTCAGTCCTAGCTCAGGTCCACGGGGGGAGCATCCCTTTGGTTCTCCCTGGTTCGAGGCAGTGCGGGGCTGAGGGCCAGATGTGTTAGGGATGGGGACGGTGCCGGGGTCAGTGGCCTGCAGGCCGGCCAGCGCCTCACCCCGGGGATCTCGCTCCCTTACCTGGATTCTCTCCCCAGCTCTGACAAGGAGGGTGCCGGCATACCCCATTTCCAGGCCAACACCCTGACCCCTGACCAACATCCCTCACTCTTTCCTCTTCCCAGGGAAATGTTTCTACTCTCTGGCCCCTCCTTGCCCGCAGTTGCTGGAGGAAAAACCAACATCACCTTCATCGTTTATCAACTCAACAGCTACAACACAGACTACAGAGCTGTTTTTCTCGTTAAAAGTTTATTGTCATTAAAAAAAAAAAAACCCTATGCCTTAAAACATTTTACATTCACCTTTTAGAATATTTAATGGTACCAGTTAAGGATGTTATTTTACTTAAAAACACACACACACATACACACACACACACACAAAAAAAAAAAACACCAAAAAACCACCAAGAAACCAGCTTCTTGAAATTGCTGCAAATTTCTTTCACTGAGGTCTCGCATTAAAGTGGTTTGAACTCTTTGGGGGAAAATTGGTATAATACTATAATATTAAGTCAGGAACCTTTTTGTGTGTTTTAGCTTTGGAGTCACACCGTGAGGTGCTCAGGACCTATTCCTGGCTCTGTGCTCAGGGATCACTCCTGGAAGGGCTCGGGGGACCCTATGGGGTGCTGGGGATTGAACTAAGGTCACAGGTGCAAGGCAAGTGCCCTACCCATTGTACTATCTCTCCAGTCCCCGGAAACCAAATGTTTATATCAGGAAGAAATGAGTAAAATTTCCAGGCTCAAAGAAATCTGAACTGAAAAGAACAAAAATTAGTGTAAATTTTTGTGTAAAAACCCTCCCCCTTCCTAGCTCCAATGTTAGATAGAAAATTAAAAAAAAAAAATTGCAACCAACTCCACTCAACCCACACACATCTGTCTTAGAAAAAGTTTCCCAACTCTGAACACAGGGTCTCACACAGAAATATCTGTCCTTAGAGACGCAGGCCAGCTCCTCTGGGATCTTGCACTGCTCAATTCAATGTTATTAAAAAAAAAAATCATGTAGTTAAGATACTCATCAATACTGATACCCAAACACACAGACGCTGGGCTTTGGTATGGCTACTGAAATCCCACAGGAGGGAAGAGGGAGCAGAGGCCCGTGTGTGAGGGTGGGGGAGAGCACACAAAGCCCCAGGGGACAGATGTGGCCCATGGCGTGCCTCCCTGGAGGCAGAGGTCTCCAACTCAACACAGACAGGGCGGGGTCTAGCCGCCAAGCGCACGCACAGTAGGGTGGGGTCTGACTAAGCTCTCGATTCTGTCCGCGCCAGAGATCAGAATGGCCTGGACCAACCCTTCCAGTCTCCCCTGCGTGCAGGAGAATGCTCAGTGGTGGGGCTCAGGTCTATCTGCGTTCCCCACCAATGCAGTCGCTCCATCATGCCTCACTGCGGAAGCCTGTTCCCATGGGACCTCCAACACCCTCCAGAGTCAGAGGGAAACGGCCAACATGTCCATCCCTGGGCTTCCAGCAATGGGCGCTTCCCAACATGGAGCAGTGGTGCTGCCAGGAACGCTGGCAGCTTCTGAGTGGCCGTTCTGGGGGCCCCCGGAAACGGAGTTCATCCTACTGTCAGGAGGACGTAGATAAACAGAAAGCCCCCTGCAGTGACATGCACGACCTCCCCGAAATTTCTACGTTAGAGCCCTCAATGATGACCCATCTAGCTCCCTGACCAATGGGGTCCGACAGACCCCGGGGACACCCCCCCCAGGTGCTCCGGGCCAGTAAAGACACAGGAAGACACCAAAGGCAAAGGCCCTGCCCACCCCCAGGAGTGAAGACTGCAAAATCGGGAGGGACAGAGCTGGGCAACAGAACACTCACCTCGACAGTGAGGTCCTGGGTTCGATTCCTGACACAGCAAAAAAAAAAAAGGAAGAAAGAAAAAAGAAACCGCCTAATTTATGCTCTTCCCCCCCCCCCCCGCCCCAATAAGACACCAACACCAGAAAAAGAAAAGAAAAACAATAGAACAAAAATGTATCTGTACAATCTCTAAAGGAAGGTTTTGGTCACTGTTGAAGCCAGAACTTTGGGAAAGGTGGTACCTTTGTTACCACAGACCCCGCACCCCAAAATTTCTTGGGGTTTATGTACATCGAGAGACAACACAGAGAGAATCTCGGGAGAGCGAATGAGTCCACTGCAAACGCATGCGTGTGCTCGGTCTCCTGGGGGCCCAGAGGGAGGCTCACAGCAGCTCGGACCCCAGTGGCCCCACCACGCGGGTGGCACCTCGGGCAGAGGGGACCCCTCCGGCCGCACGGCCTCCACTTCCAGCAGAAGCAGAGCAGGCTGTGTCCGTCCGCAGGCTCGCTAGGAGGCGTTGGCGGGCGGCAGTCACGCGTTCTCTCTCTCCCGCCAGTCAGTTCCACGGGCTCACGGCAGCCAGCGTGCCGAGGACTCCGGGAGCCACCGTGCCCCCTGAAGTGCCAGGAGGTCTCCAGACCCCCGCCCCGCCCACCCACCCACTCAGCAGCACCTGCCACTTCACCTCCTGGGGGGACGGACGGATGACAAACGGCCGGTGCTGAAACGCCCGCTTCCTCCTCCAGCTGGGGCTCGCGCAAACATGTTTGGACCAGCCGCCCGAGCGGAACAACACTTCAAAGCCGAGTCTCGGGCACATTCCGAGTCCGTCCACTCTCCCGGCGCCCCCTCACCAGTCCCGCTGTCCCCCCAGCAAAGGTTCCTGTCGTTTAGCCAGCGGAACGGCCAGCGCGCCAGGTGCCACACGCAGCGTTTCCTCCTCTGCGTAGGAGAGCCGGGAGGATGAATCTTCCCCTGGCTGACGCCTCGGCCCCAAAGCGTCGGCAAGGAAGTGGGCTCTGAGGAGGGGAAGTCGCTGAGATCCGCGGGTCAGTCACTCCATGGAGATGTGCATGGAGCTTTCCGGAGGCCGGGAGACGTGAACGCACGCAGGCCTCTCCGCCTCCGAGGCAGCGCAGGGAAACACCAGCGCGCAGGCAAAAACCACGGGGAAGAAATGAGTGGATCCAGCTCCCGGGTCTGCCCGCTAGGTCAGGGTCTCGTGGTGGCAGGCGGCCGGCCGGGGGAAGTCGAGGCAGGAAAGGACGCTGAGACAGGACCGCCAAGGGGCCACGCGAAATCCCCCACGGGGTCCGCCCCGTTCCGAGGCCAGGGAGCCGTGTTCAAGTTCAAAGTTTTCTGGAAGGAAGAAAACGAAACGGAAGGAAACCCACACCCACTGGGGAAGGGCGGACGGGGAAGGCGCCGGGCCAGCTCAGGCCGCCGAGCGCCGGCGGATGACGAAGAGCCCGCGCTGCAGCTGCCCCAGGTAGATCCGCATCTTGGTGCTGTCGCTCGTCTTCCGCACCCAGATCTGGAGGGAGGAGGGACGGGGAGAGAGTGAGCGGGCAGACGCCTGCCACCAAGGCAGCGACCCCGGCCCCTCCGGGCCAGACCCGTGCTCTCGAGCTTCTGCTTGGCCTGATCCAAGGACCACCCCCCACTTGGACTTGACTACAGAACAGAGTCCCCAAGAACAGAGACTTTCCATCGCACCCGGGAATATTTTCCTTCCCCAGGAGACGCCTACATTAGAATCCTGGTTGCTCGCAGGTGAAGGGACAGTGACAGGCAAAGATCAAAAACGCAACCCAGACGCCTGGGAGCCAAGGAAGGCCCAGTGCGGATCCTGAGATGACAAGCCCGCTTAAGCCAGGCCTCCTCCCCCGCAACGATGCCCTGCTGTTGGGGGATGGGGGGATGGTGGGGAAGGCACTTTGGAGTCCACCCGGACACGGTCACTCCTGGCAGGGCTGGGCCTGGGGTGCTGGGGACTGAGCCCGCTCAGCCATGGGAAGTGCGGGGCAGCGTCCTAGCTGCTGAACTGTCGCTCCAGCTGCAGGGGGACGGTCGGGGGCGCCGGCCCCACCAAGGCAGGGGTGGGCAGGACAGGGGCTCCCCCGCGGGGCGCCGGCACCTTCGAGGGAGCTCTCCTGAGTCCTGGGTGCTGCCCTCAGGCTCACCCAATTCTCGCCTTGGTGCCCCTGCGCCTTGGCACCATGAGCCCTGGAACTTTCCATGGCAACAGGTAGGGGTGACATGCCTCGCCCCTTCCCAGGACTCACAGGATGGGAGACTTGCCCCTTTTCACCAGGACAGGCCTACAGGTTACCACCGCCGGGCCACTCCAGGGGGGAAAGGGTGCTGTCCTTTCACCTACTCCCTCCTGGCAGCTCGATGGGCGCCATCCTCCAGAGGTCACTGGACATCAGGTTTGGGCCCGCAGTGACAAGACATGCGGGGCCTCATGAGTTGGGTGTGGAGTCGGCCCTTTCCTCCCCACCCCAGTGAGACCCCCGAGTTGCTGCCCACAAGTGGCCTCTCTGGATCCCGATCGAACACTGCTTAACAGCCATGATCCCAGAGACTCAGGAACAAATCTCGGAATCCAGCAGGTTTTGGCAGAAATCCCTCCAGATTTAACTGTTAAAATTTCAGAATTCCAAAATCGCGAGACCACTACTGTGTCTGTGCAACATCATGTTATTCATAACCAGCAATGGAAAACAAATCGTCTACGGTTGCCTTTTCAGCAGATCCGAGTGTTGGAGTAAAATCCCAAATAATAATAATGGGTCTGGTGTCGAAATATGGAATGTAACCAAAGTAGAGAGAGACTAATGTGGAAATCATCTGCCCACAGGTAGGGGGTAGAGTGTGGGATGGGGCGTTTACAGGGGTTTTTGGTGGTGGAGAATGGGCACTGGTGAAGGGACGGGTGTTTCATCATTGTATGACCAAGACTTAAACCTGAAAGCTTTGTAACTGCTCTCACAGTGATTCAATAAACAAATTTATAAAAAAGAAAAAAGAAAAGGAAAGTAAGGTAGAGTTTATGTCCAATTCAATCAGCCTAATCAATGGCTGAATAAATAGCAATACTCCGAGAGAGAGAGAGAGAGAGAGAGAGAGAGAGAGAAGCAACAGCAGGGGGGAGGGGCACTTGTTTCTACTCAGAGGACCTGGGTTCGATCCGATCCCTGGCCCGTCAAAAGAGGGCCTCCTGAGGCCACCAGGAGCAATCCCTGAGTGCAGTCAGGTTTAACCCTGAGCACTGCCAGGTGTGACCTCAAACCAAACACACAAAAAAGATCTTCGAGGAGAGAAAGGGGAAATATGTGTGCAAGAAAGAACCCGGGCTTTTCCAGAGTGGAAGTAAGCAAGCCCTGAGACAAACGGGCAAGATTTGTGTGCAAGGGCACACACGGGTTTGAAGAGTGAGCCCACCGGGCAATTTTAACCTGCATTTTCCTGCAGTCCATCCACTGCTGGCAATAAATGAACTGGCACTGCTTGGCCAAGAATGGTGAATATTAAAGATCTTCTCACGAAGCCACACATGTTAGCAACAGAGAACCTGAAGTCAGAGATATGGGCTGGAAGAGATCTCCTACGAAACCAAGTGTTTACTGGGCTTTACTGAACCACTGGAACTGAACACTGGCCCCGAGACAGGGCGCCAGTCTGCATCTGTCTCCCTGAAAAGGCTGCAGGGCCCAAGCCCGGCCCCCTGGTCCTGAGTCTGGGTCCCAGGTGGCCCTCGTGGCGTGGCAGTGGTCCACACAGCCAGGCGCCAGTGCTCAGTGGGAACCCCGACCCCCTGCTGGGGGAAGCAGGTCTCCTAGCAGCCCTGGCTGGGCACCATCTCGGCAGGAGTGACCCCGCGACCATGGCCCTGAGAAAAACGCCACTCACGCTACTTTCCCACCTTCCAGGGAAAACTATGGGTTTTGCAAACCAGCCACATGTGAGGACATTTTCAGCTGGGGGTGCTGGGAGACTAGAAGAGGCGTAAGTTATCCCATAGGCCAGTTTCCTTAGACGCACTGTGCCCTGGCGCACATAAGTTCCAGAGGGCAGACACGTATAAACCAGTTTCTCTGCAGACATTTGGGAACTGATGAAAGATCAGCCAACCCAGCTATTTAAGCTGTGAACGTTTTTCTTACACTGCTAACATCACAGGGCCGATGCATACGCCTCCCGAGAGGAGCCCAGGAGAAGCCCCAGGTGGGGAGGGGCCTCTGGCTCCAGCCACACTGGGACAGTCCCTGGGGTCAACGGCCCAGGGCTGCTCAGAGGCATGTGGGAGCTGTCAGGTGAGAAAGGCAGCCTTCAGGGAAATGACTAGCGGGGGCGGGCTGGGGGGGGGGGGGGGGAGGGCGGGGGGGGGGGGGGTAAGCCCTCTGATGCCAGGACTTCGTGAGCGCAGACTCTGTGCCACACACAGTGCCACAGGCCCCTCCCGCCATACACAGCTCATCGGAATCCACCACAGCCCCTTAAAGTCTTGGGGACCTGGCGTGGCGGAGACGAAGCCCCCTCACGGGAGGTGTGGGTGCCCAGGAGCGGCAGGGCAGGAGGGCGGGGAGGGTCCCAGGACTGGAGGGGGGCGGGGTCCACCCTACCTCATTGGCGCCGACAGAGCTGATGACACAGCTGAGCTTCTGGCTGTCCTTGGACTCCAGGTAGATGGCCTGGCTCTTGTGGTACCTGGCAAAAAGAGGACAGCGGTGATTCCTCTTGGTCACTCGGCGGAGGTGTGGGGAAAGCAGCTTAACTGGTCACGTCACCGGGGCTCGGGTGAGAAAAGGCCAGGAAAGCCCGCCACGGGGTCCAAGGCATGAGGAAAGGCCAAGGGGTTCCCAGCAACGCCCGGAGCCACGTGTCCTCTGTCAGGAAGACAGGGTGTCACTCAGAGACACTGCCCGTGATCTCCCGGTGTCCTGAATACAGTGGCTCCCACATGCATCCTAGACCCACCAAAAAGCTGGCGACATTAGACAGTGAAATGTCCATACGCTCTATTAAAATTTTATAAAACTCTAAGATCTATAAACAACGCTTTCCATGCATTTCAGTTATTCCAGAATTGAGAAAAATCTCATTCGTTTCGTGTGGATGAAAACGCACCCACCACAAACCTGGGGTAGAAAGAGCACGTCGATGGGGCCAGTCACTGCAGAGAGGGAGGGCGTTTGCCTCGCTCGCTGCTGACCAGGGTTCAACCCCCAGCATCCCATGTGGTCCGAGCCCACCAGGAGTGAGCCCTGAGTTACCGCTGGATGTGACACCGCCCCCACCAAGAGAACATGCCAGATCTGTTACAGACCCAGCTCCAGAGATGCCAACACGTCTCATTTCTGAGAGGAGTGGGGCCAGAAGCAGGAGGGAGCAGTGGGAGCCGACCTGGGCAGCGCCCCCATGGCCCTGGGCCCAGGAAGAGGGGCTGGAGCCTCCACGGCAGCCTGAGGCAGCCAGCGCATGCCAGCATCTGGGGATCCGAATCCCGGAGAGCAGATCACGCAGCAAAACCAGCCCCATAGAGCTTCGCCAGCAAATCTGGGCGCAGCCCCCACGTGACCCCTTCAGGGTGTGGCCCCAACCCCCCCCACACACACACACACAAATTAAACCCAAGAAAACAATCAATAAGTAACTTACTAAAAATGTACTGATAAAATTCCTGGTACTAACCTCGGCCATTCTTGGGTGTTAGTCTCCTGTTTTGTTTTGTTACTTTATGTTCCCCAGATGAATGCAATCTTTCTATGTCTATCCCTGGAGGCCAACCACACATGCTAGGGGAATAGGGAGGTCAGATAGAGAAGGGAGCACCAAATAGAGGGTGTTGGGAGAATTCTCCCAGGATGGGAGAAGCATGTGGAAAGTAGACGATAGACCAAACATGATTGCCACCCACTGCCTCATTTGCAAACCACAACACCCAAAAGGAGAGAGAGAACAAAAGGGAATGCCCTGTCACAGAGACAGGGTGGGGTGGGAAGGATGGGAGGTGGGAAGGTTACTGGGATCCGTGATGGTGGGAAATGGGCACTGGTGGAGGGATGGGTACTCGATCATTGTATAATTGAAACCTAAGCACAGAAATTTGTAAGTCTGCAACTGTACCTCATGATGTCTCACTAATAAATAAATACACACACACACACACATACTGATAACTATCACTTTTTTTTTTTGGCCAATCGACCCATTTTATAAGCTACAACTCAACTCTGCTAAAACAAACAAAAAACACTTTGAAGAGCCTCAGAGAACAGACTGGCCCCCAGCTAAACTGACTTTTACTACTTTCTTACTATGGGAACTCTGACCTGGGAATTCTGACAATCAAGCTGTCAGACCTATTGGCCCACCATGCCCCCAATGGCGGCAGGAGGAAGCTATTTCCCCCAGAGCGGTCACAAAGTGAAGCTGGAAGGGACAGAGTTAAGTTAATGCTGTAGTCCACTGGAAACCCTGGTCTAAACATTCCATTTCCCAAAGCGGCCCATGCCTAGTCATAAACTGTCACTCTTGAACTTTTCCGCAGTCACTTGGGGGTTGGGGGGCTGAATCCATTTGAGTGACTGGGTGACACCATTCCTGATTCACATCAGCTGCTCTGGATTCAGAGGGAGAAGAGTTCTCACCTACCAGCCACTGCCACGGTGCTTGCTGAGAACCGTGCACATTTCATCTACGTCAAAATGTGAGCAAATCTGACAGCCGGACAGGAAGTGCCTTCACCTTCTCAGCACAGGAGGCCAAGGGAAGGTGCTTTTCCTTCCCGGCAAAATGCCAGAGCTGCTCCTGCCACAACGCAGCCGCAGTGACACCTGCTTTGCTGAAGTCCTTTAAAACCCAACCACACGCGTGGAGCCGGAAACACCGGCGCAAACGCCCACAGGCGGCAGGTGCGAGTGAACCAAGAGGACGGAGCGAGGCTGCAGCTCAGGCCCCGGCTCCCGGGAGGCAGCAGGATACCGTGGGAGCACCTGCCGACAAGTATTAGGACCCTCAAAGGACCGCCATGCGGCCCACACCCCGCACCTGGTGGGGGGAGAGTGCTGGCACGGGCTGCCCCGCCAGCAACACCCCCCGCTGTGGGTCCCTGGTGAGAACAAGAACCCCCCATGCCCGCGTCCTCTTCCCCCCACCCCAGGGCAGGACCCACACGGTCTCCGGATGGAGCTTCAGAAGCAGAAAGAGCTGAAGCCACACAAATTACAAAATGAACACCGTGTGAAATATCACATGGATTTAAGGCGCAGAGATCCGTAAAAATGTTAGTGATAAATCTCATCATTTTTGAAGACGGTTCTTCGGTGTGGGCTTGATCTTTAAAGGTTATTTGGTTTTCATTATTAGAAACATTTTTCATCTGATTTTGGCCCTCGGCGCGGTGGGCAGGGCAGCCCTGCCATCTAGTGGGGATGGCTGTGAGGTGCGGCAGGAGGCAGGCTGGCCGCCACAGCGGCCACCAGACCACTCTCTCGCCAGGCCACCAGAGCGGCTCTAAGACGGAGGGTGGCCTTAGAACGAGCCGGGGGCACCGGGGGCCCTTCCGTCCCTGCTGTGGCCTCACCGATGGGGCTGGCTGGCTGCAGACTTGCTAGAGAGGGCAGCATTTTTACCACCTGCCAAACACAGACTGGAAGGTATCCACAAACATGAGGTAGAGCTTTGGCTTTTTTTTTCTTTTAAGCCTCCACAAATTCAAAATTAACCATGACATTTGGAACTTTCCGTTAAATTGAGAGTTATTATCATTAACCATCACAGACCGCGCCCAGTGACTTGGGAAAGGTCTCAGCATCGTAAGGGGCACAAACACGTGTGTGCCTGTGTAGGGACAGAGAATGAAGGACAGCGGAATGAAGAGCGTTGAGCACAGGTGACGGAGCACCTGGATGAGGCCAGGGGATGGCTCAAAGGGCAGGGTGCAGGCCTCGCATTCGGGTGGGCTGGGTTCCGGCCCCAACAACACGGGGTCCAACGCGGGGTCCTGATTTTAGTCCCCTGAGCACTGCCACAGGCAAGCTCCCAACGCCAAGCTAGGAGTGGCCCCTGAACACTAATGGTGTGACCCACAAACAAAAAACACCAACATGAGTCTTTCAAGGTTCTTTCATTCTGCCATTTCAATCCCAATAAAAACATGGGTGGCATGAAAGTGTCAGGAAGTATCTGAGAATACGGCTGGCCCCAGCATGGCTTCTGAAACCCTCGGCAGCAGACTGATGTAGAAACGGGTCCTCGACCCAGCAAGTGGCACCGAGCAACAGCTCAGCCATTCAGGGCAGCCAGCTGGTCGGGGGCACAAAGAAACCAGGGGGATGGCCCCGCCCAGCCCAGAGCTTATTCCAACACAGAATCTTTGCCCAGCCCAGAGCTTATTCCAACACAGAATCTTATGAACGTGAGTACCCCCGTGAATGTGAGTCCCCAGGGGCAGAGTGAAGAAAACAGGGCTGGGGAACAGGATGAGAGTGGGATGAGCAAGACCTCTGCCCCCGCCTCCCAAGGACTCGAAGGTGTCAGGCTGTCACTTCTGGATGGCAACAAGTACAGTGAGAGGGGCCTCCACCGGAACACCCCACCCAGGACTAGCCGTCAGAGGCCTAACGAGGAGGCCCCCGGCGCGCCTGATGCCCAGTTAGTGGGACCCCCTTCCGGTGCCGCAGCAAGCGCATCCCCGGGCCTACCATCGCTTGTCGTAGTAGAGCTTGCCGTCCTCTATCCGAGCTTCGAACCGCTGGGCTGGAGACTCTGCAGGCGCAGCAGGCAAGTGCTCGGGGGAGGACGGGGATGCTGGAAGAACCAGAGAGAGTCAAGGACTACCACGAAACCAACACGCATCGACCAGCTAATGGGGTCTGGCTGAAGTGCTTGAACGGGACTGAGGAGCAACAAGCACGCAGGAGGCCAGGGTTCAAATCCCCGGCACGGCACAGCCCTGAGCAGAGTTGGGAGGATTCCTGGTGCAGCCCCAAAGGTGAAAGAACAGAAACGCTGCTGTCAAAGGTGGTGAATGAATTTGAGTACCCCCTGTGAATGTGAGACCTTGACCGCAAGGCCTCAGCTACAGGCAGCGAGAGCCTCACAGTGAGCGGGAAGGCAGGAACAAGCCTCTGCAAACAGAACCACAAGGCTCGGGCAGCAGAGACGTGGCACAGGGTCGCCCAAACCCTGGGCCCTCTGGCAGTCCTGTCTTGTAGGACAGGAAATCAGAGGGGGGCTGGGCGTGCCTGAGGTCTCCTCTTTGGGTTTTTTTCCCCCCTTTTTGGGGGGTAGGGGGGCACACCTGGCTTACTGCTGGTCTGCACTCAGGGATCACTCCTGGTGGGCTCAGGAGTCCACGTGGGGTCCCAGGGATCAAACCCAGGTCAGCCGCATGCAAGGCAAGCGTCCTACCCACTGTGCTATCTCTCGGGGCCTCTGCTCTGATTCTCAGCACCACCCTCCGGCAGACAACGGGCACTTTCATTTCTGAAAAGCGCCAACGATCCTGGTCAGGTATCCCCTCCTGCCTCTCCAGCAGCTCGGTAAAGACCTCACAAACACAAACGCTAGATAAAGACCACCCAAAGGAACGCTAGGCCACACCACGCTCTTACCTGGCCTCTTGGGGGACTTAAGCTGTAGGAAGGGAAAAAAAAAACAACTTAGCAAAGACTCATTTCAGGTGCAACTTAAGTCAATTAAAGCTATCCAAATGATCAACAAGTCACAGGAAATCAGCAAAGCATAAACCCATGCCAGACCTTAGTTCTCAAGTAATTTAACACAAACAAACCATACCTTGTTTAAAGTTCTCAGATCCTCCATGATCTGTTCGTCTGTTAACAAATAGTTTAACTGAGGTGCTAGGAGTTAAAGAAATGAAACTGCAAAGGATGGTTTCCAAAAAAACACAAGTCAGCGACAGGGCCTTAGAATTACCATGGGCGGGCAAGGGCTTGCCTTGTGGGAGTTTATGGTTGCCCTACAAAGGGCCACGTGACCTTATGTCATGGGAAGGTGGAAGGAGGTTTACTAGGTGACCACCACACCGGACAGAACCACGGGGACACACGAAGCAGAAATCCACTCCATGTGCTTCCGTCCCCGGGATCTGGAGAGACGGGACAGGCATGCACGTGCACACACGTGGCGACACACCATTCCTGCATGTGGCTGGTTTGGCCACCAGAGGACACGGCAACACCACACCCCACCCCACCCAGCCCTCGGCCCTCCCATTCGCATGATTCCATGGGCTTCCTGCTGCCTCACTGAAACCCCCTTAGCCTGACGGAACAATGGTTGGCAAGCCACTGTTTGAGGGAGACAGAGATTAGGCAGGAACGGCAGCCATCACCGTCGTCATCTTACAGGTAGAAAAATGGGACTGAAACATGCTCTGCGTGGGAGAGACCCTGAGCTGATTCTCGGCACCCAGGGTCCTCTGAGCACTCCTGGGAACAAAGTTTCAAGCACTGCGCTGGGAACAGGCCCTAGCACTGCCAGGAATGGCCCTAAAATAGGTGGGAAATTAAGGCCCACCATTGGGCTGCTGCAGAATGAGCATTAAAACCATGCTGGCGCTGCTGACGGGAAGTGCCTGTCCAAATTATCTCTAAATCCCTCCCATTGAAACTGCCAATCAAGGAATTCCATGAATGAAAAACAATGGGGGCCAGAAAGCAAACAAACGACAAAAAAGCAGAGGGTAAGGCCTGGCACAGCTGACCCTGGCTTCATACCTGGCACCACACAGGGGACCCTGGGGACCGCCAGGCGTGAGCGCTGAGCACACAGCCAGGAGCACCTACCTGAACACCATGGGACAAGGCCCCGAACCCCACTCCCGCCCCCCAGAAGGCCAACGCTAGCTGATGGATGCATATGGGACCTATGCCCTCAAGGGCAGAGCCACTTCCTGCAGGCCCAGGAGTAGAGCGTGGACAGGGGCCCAGAGGCGGCCAGGAGGCAGGATATCAGGAGCGGGCTTCCTCCGCTTGTCGGGGATGGGGACAGGGTCGTTGGGGCGCCGCCGCAGCTTCCTCGTCATGATGGGTTTCACCTCCATGGAGTCTGCGTCCGAAACGAAACAAGTTAAACTGGCCTGAGCCTGACGACAGACCGGCAAGTACTTCAGAGGAAGAATACCCGGCTCCCGGCCCCGGGGAGGCTGGACACTTGGGTTCACGTCCCTCGAGCCACAGCCCCCCCGGCTCAGAGCAGAGAGAGGGGCCCCACTGGACACCACCCCAGAAACTCAGCTCGGGCCAGAGCGCCAGACAGCAGGTAGGACTCCGGCCTTGCACGGCCCATCCAGGGTCCGCCCCCAGCACCCCGCAGGCTCCCCCGTGCTCCACCTGAGCACAGAGCCAGGAGAAAGTCATAAGCACCGCCAGGGCTGGCCCAGAAACCAAAGGAACGTCCAAACGCAGCCAGCCGTGCACCTGCCAAGCAAACAGGGGTCCCCCCCCCCGCCTCCAACAAAGATGAGAGTTGGAGGCCCTGAGGCTGAGGGCCCTCAGGCTCCCCCGCTGATGCACCCCTGCTCTTCCCGCCCAGGCGGGCACTGAGGGCCATCGGGTCACAGGCCCCTCCAGAGGCCGCTGGTGCAGGTCCAGCACCGTGACAGGCTTTCACGCCCCACTCCCCCGGACTTGCTTCCCTGACTGGCGTTGGGCACCAGTGACCCCACGGGGCAGCCAGGCTCCCCGCAACCTTCCGGACTACGCTGCAGGCTGACCCCGCAGCCAAGCCCATCCCATCCATGCCTGGCCCACCCCGCTGCCCACTGGCCACCCAGGCATCCTGGACACTGGCCCGCACCGGTCCTGAACCCGGCTCCCAATGACCCCACGCAACTCGGGCTCCACAAACCTGCTCAGCCCCCTCTTTGGGCGCTGCTCCGCCCCCCTTCCAGACAGGCCCGAGCCCGCTGCCGCCACTGCACTTCCTTCACCCAGCAGCCGAGTCACCAGGCCGTGCCGGCTGTGCCCTCTGCCTCCCCCATCCCTGTCTGTCCACAGACATGCCCCGCAGAGATCCTAAGGGTCTCATCCACAGCCAGTCTGAGGGACACCCCAAGACACGAGGCCGGCCGTGCTGCATGGTGCTCCTGCCGACAGCTCCCGCAGCCCCCGTGCTCCCGGCCTTCCTCAGCAAGCACTTAGCTCCCAGTACGCCTCTGTGCCCAGCAGCCTCCTAAGCCAACCCGCCCAGGGCCAGTCCAAGGATGCCGCTGCCCTCCCGAGTGACCCCAAACATTCCTACAGACCCAGGGACCATGCCTCCACAACAGGGTGCCGGAAATCCCAGCCTGGAGCACTGGAGGAGGAGCAGAGCAGGGGCTCCAGGGGCCTGAGCCCACCAAGTCCAAGGAGCTGCAGGAGCTGAAAGAGGGAACGAGGCCTCGAAGCCAACTCCTCAACATCCAGTTCAATGTTTTCCCTCGTCTAACCTTCACATCCACCTGCCCAAGAGGACGGGATCCGTTCCTCGCCAAAGAGGAGGGTCCACCAAGGAGCTGGAGGCCGAGCAGGGCGGGACTGTCCAGGCTGCGCTGAACGCCCTTATGCAGACGCACCCACCAGTGCTCAAAAGTGACTCCCGGCTCTGCACTCAGGAATCAGTTCTGGAGGGTTCAGGGGACCATATGGGATGCCAGGGACTGAACCCAGATGGACAACGTGCAGGGGAAGCACCTTCCCACTGTGCTATGGCTCCGGCCCCAATCCTGCTTCTCCTAAAGGAAACTCAGTCACCACTGAGGTAAGGAGACGACTCCCTAAGAGTCTGGGGGTTGGCGGGCGCCCCTGGAGAGGCAGGAACTGACAAAAGATGGAGAAGCAGCTCAGAGCAGCTCAGGGCAGAAAGAGGGCCAGGAAGAGGATGAACTGGGATAGGACCTCACTGGGAAAACTCACGAAGGTCCGGGACCGTTCTGGTCACTGACACAGGACCTTCAACTTCAGAGCAAACTCCTGCAGAGCTGGGACCTCTCTCCAGGCAGCTGCTGCCCTCAGCCTCTACACAGACCCCAACCCATCCCCAAACCACAACCTGCATCTTCTCAAGACCTGCACCAGACTCTGGCATACCCGGGGGAGATGGGGTGGAATGATGGGGCTCAGTCGGGCTGCTGGGCGTAGGTGCACCTTCCTGCCTGCCTCCCCCGGAAGGTCCCCGCAAGGTCTGGCTGGGAATGGCCCGGGAGGACTCCAGGTCCTGTGGGGATGGGGCAGCGGCCAGTACTCGCGCCTCCCGATTTACATCCTGGCTTCTCATCGGCCTCTTACTCCCCTTTGTCTGTTTTCTAAGAGATCTTCACGGGGAACCAGAGAACTGGATTTGAAGACAGGACGAAGCCAGGTGGCAGCTGGGCCTCAATCCACAAAGGTGAAATCAGTCACTTGACTAGAGGAAGGAGACGGGCTGTGAGCCCGGCTCCAGCTTCGACAGGCTCATCAGCCCGGCGCCATTCTCCCACACTGGATCCTACCTCGGCAGCACTTCCCCCTGCCAAGGGGACTGAGGGGCTGGAGGAAGGACATCGCTACCTTTAATGCCTATGGCCAGCGCCACACTCTCTGGCGATCTGTTTTGGTGCACCTCAAACGACTGCCTGCCCTGCATTTCTTTGTCTTGTATTCCCGGGCAGGTTCAGCCCCAATTTCCCGAGGATGCCGCTCTAATTCGGGTTAAAGCTTCCGGCTGTCAACCGGCCTGGCCCAAGGACATCAGTCATTAGAACACCAAAGCGAGAGGGTTGGTGGCACCCCCTAGCTGCAGATGGAAGGGGACCAGAGAGGAAGCGACGCACTCTCCCACTCGCCTAGTGAGGGCTCGGGAACATCTAGGAGGCTGGCAGGCAGAGGCCCAGGCAGTGGTCAGGGCATGGGACAGAAAACAGGCCGGCGCTGCTTCGAGCTTCACCAAAACCCATTCATGGAGCTGCTCTCAGAATTCCTCAAGGCACGATTCCCTGCGGCCAGGTCTCCACTGAGGAGCCCTGAGGGACGAAGCCTCTATTTCCACCCCACCCCCCAGGGGAGAGCAGCCCCGTTTTGCTGGAACCCTCCTGGGTCCCACACACCCCGGCAATTCCCAGGGGCTCTCCTGAAGCCTGGGGCCTTGGGTCACGATCCAATAAGCAACCAAAAAGGTCGAGAGAGAGAACCCTCTTTTCCAACAGCCTATGTGAGGATGCAAGACGGTCCTCTTAGCTAAGCCGGTAAGACACCTCTGGGAAGCAAACAGGAACCCATGGACACTTCGGAAGAAACACAAAGACCCAATTTCCCTTGAAACGCCACCCCCATCTTCAAAATGAGCCACACTTGGTCCGCTGCTAAATACCTGCCCACAAGAAGGCGAGTTTCTCTTCTACGTGTCACCACATCTTTCTATCTGTGCGTCAGGTCATCGCTCAGTATTTTCAGCACCTAGGACCTGCCGCCACGGCTCGTGCCTCTGACCCAGCTCCAGCACCTCTCCAACCCCGTCTGTGTCTGGGGAAATGGCGTGAGAGCAGTGGCTTACTCACTGGCCCCCGACAGCTCAGTGACACAGAGCCCGGAACCTTCCACACGCGACACAGAAGCTGAATCTGGGAGATGGTTTGGCGGTCGGGGCCCGGCCCCAGCGTGGATGCCTGTACGCGGAGAGATCCCCAACACCTCCACTTCAGCTGGCTGGGTCACCGCACCCCATGGGCATGGTGTGGGGCTGCTCCAGAATAAATCTGGGGGTGCCCGGGCCAGCGACTAACTCGCCTGGCAGTCTCCGCTGACAGGAACTCGCCCAGTTCCAAACCAGCTCCTGCAAGTCAATTCCACGGCCCAAGCCGCTGCCCACACCTTTCTGGAAGTCAGCCCACTCTGCTTCTCCCCCTGCCTGCCCGTAGTGACGGGGATGGCGAGGAGGAGGAGGACGGGGGGTGGGGGGGGAGGGGGAGGGTTGGGTTCAGCCCTGCTCCCTGGCGTCCCCCCCACAGACAAGCACAGGCGCAGCAGACACTGCAGCCACGTGGCCTCAGCTTCTCCCGCAACATCCACCGTGACGCTCGGGGCGGGCGAGGCCTGGAGCACCTCTGCCTCACACGGAGGCCCAGGGACGGCTAAGGCTGAGTCGCCAGCGCAAAGCCGAGGGGCTGAGGAAGCAACGGGGACCTGGCCCTGGCAAGAGGGGCCGCGACCCCCCGAGGCCGCAGTGCCTACACAGGACGACCTTCCCCTGGACCCGGCCCTGGAGCCACGTGCTCGTACCTCCCGTCAGCTCCATCGTGAGCTTCTCATTTTCAATCATTTTCTTCTTTTCTTCAAGCTCGGCAATCAGGTTCTCTTTCAGTTCAACCTTCTTGTCTTCAAATTCTTTCACTGCTGCCTTCTTTTCTTTAATGTAATTTCTTTCCACTTGTTCGGTCTGAGCAGAAAAAGAAGAGAGAGAGAGAGAGAGAGAGAGAGAGAGAGAGGCTGGAGCAATAGCACAGCAGGTAGGGCGTTTGCCTTGCATGCGGCCAACCCAGGTTCGATTCTCAGCATCCCATGTGGCCCCCCGAGCACCGCCAGGGGTGATTCCAGAGTGCAAAGCCAGGTGTGACCCAAAAAGCCAAAAATAAATAAATACATAAAATAGAGAGACAGACAAGCTGGGCACAGCCGGTCCTGGCATGGAGGATCCCAATTGAAATCAGGTTGTACACACAAGTGCAAACACCGTCAGGAGCGCTGCTAAGGGCTTTGCCTGGCTGCCCCCCACACCCACCATGTTCCCCTGAGCACCAGCAGAAAGGGGTCATCCCTGAGTGGAGTCAGGAATAGGAGCAACCCCCAGCCCCCTTAAAAAGAAACTATCTCTGTGAGAAAGACTGAAAGGGTTTTGTTCTCCTCTTTGGGAGCAGAGCATGAGGGTATAGTCCTTCCGGCATTTGGAAGGACATAAATAAGGCACTACACGTGTGAACGCACGTAACGGCCACTCCCTGCGCGTGGGTGTAAGTGAGTGAGACGACCTGGCCTCGTCTGGCCTCTATGAGACGCTTCACAGGCTCCTCGGGCGGCTCCGATCTCCCACATTTTACATTTCACGGTTTACATATTACAGGAAGATCAGATTTCCACAGGTAGTAAATGGCTCCTTCTAAGGACACTATTTCGAAGGACATCAGGACATGGCAGATGACGGATCTCTCTTCTGAACGGCAAGATCCTGCGCCCAAGGGACGGTGCCATTACGGATACTTGGGTACTAGCAGTGAGACCAGACCAGCGTGTGCGGGCTATTTGCTCGGTGCCTGGAGCCCAGCAGCCCCCCAAACTCTCCCCGGTGAACACGCACGGGGGCCACCTCACTGCTGTGCTCGGAGCTGGGGGCTGGGCCAAGGCCAGGGGCTGGAGAGTGCCACAGGCCTCGCAGAAGAGCCCCCAGTTCAACCACGGGGCCCCTCTGATTGGCCCACACTGAGGGCTGTGGCCAAAAAATAGTCACTTTTTAAAAGGTTTTTGGAGGAGCGGTGGGTGATGGGGAGTGAATTTTGAATTTTGCATTGCTTCAAGCTGGCTGTGGGGGTGGGGGGAGGTTGTCGCTAGTATGAGTCTAGAACAGACCCCCACTCAAAAGACAAATAAGGAGCTAGAGCAATAGCACAGCGGGTAGGGCGTTTGCCTTGCACGCGGCAGACCCGGGTTCGATTCCCAGCATCCCATATGGTGCCCCGAGTACTGCCAGAAATAATTCCTGAGTGCAGAGCCAGGAGTAACCCCTGAGCATTGCCGGATGTGACCCAAAAAGAAAAAACAAACAAACAAAAAAACAAAATCACTGTGTCCGCCCACCACTGAAATCCACTTCCTTTAAGCAGAAAGTGACCCCCAACTGCACCCAAGGCCCAGGCCCCATTGCAGCACGCCTGTGGGAACTGCAGCTCCAGAAACTCGCTTCTTAAATGGGGGGTGGGGGAATCCCACAGGCTCACAGGACTGAATGGGGGAATTGCTCTGCTTGTGTGGGGGGGAGGGGCACCCAGTGACCCACAGGAAACTGCTCTCCGTGGTGCTGGGTGGACCCCAGGTTTCTGCCGTTGTGGACAATCACTCCAGTCTGTGGAGCCGGCTCACGGGATCTTGTTTCAAGCCAAACTTCCTTCCCGTCTGTTACGGGTACGTGACTTGTACGTCGACTCTGTATACTTAGGTACCCGGGGGACACCCAGTCTCTTGAGGAGGGGGCTGTGGGCAGGACACTTTCCAGAGACCCGGAGCTCACCAGGGACCGCCGCCCCCATAGCACAGAGGACAGAGGGGCTCGGGGAGAAGCGGCCCAGGGACAGGGCAGCTCCGAGGCCCCCAAACTACGAGGCCGGGAGAGCTCGGACACACTCACAAACAGCACCTCTGGGCTTGTCTTTCGGGGCCATGGGAGGGAGCTGGGCCCTTACCCGTGCCAGGCGATGCCCTCACCCTGAGCCAAGCCCCCAGCCCCACGGGGTGTGAGCGTGAGATCACAGCAGGCAGAAAGTCCCAGGGGGCCTGTGGTCAGCAGGGGCTGCTCCCCCTTAAGCCCCCCCACCCCCGCAGGCTGCAGGCAGCGCCGGGGCGGGGCAGTCTGGCCTTGATGCTGCGTGGCAGGCGTGTGGTACTCACTTCCAGCTGGAGGAAGAGCTCTGAAAGAGAGGGAGCACCGTCAGCGCCAGGCTGCCCGATACCGCCCCGCAGCCGCCTCCCACGAGCGAGCAGAGCCCTGCGCTTACGTGAGCGGCACTCGCTCCACCCCACCCTTCCCGCCCTCGGCCGTCCTGGCGTCTGCCGTGGCAGCGGCAGGCAGAGGAGAGCCCAGTCACGGGACCCGCCCTGCTCAGAGAGGACGAGACGGAGCAGGCCCCTGGCCCCCAAACACAGAACAAACCGCCCCGCGCCCCCTTCCACCCCCCGCCCCCGCCGCCTGCAGCAACTGGGGGGGAGGCAGTGCACCTTCCCCGCACCCCACTACTTCGAGCCTCCCTGGCCCCAGGGGCAGGGGCAGATGGTGCTGGAGGGGAGTGCTCAAGGCCAAGTGCCAGGGACAGTAACAAAGGGAAACTTTTTAGGGCTGGAGAGTGCTGGGGTCATGGTACTTGCCGTGCTCTGCAGGCAGATCCCTGATTCTCCTGCCCCAGCACTTCTGGGAGCACCGCCCCTGAGCACTGCCCCCAAGCACCGCCCCTGAGTACCACCCCCGAGCACAGGCCGCCAGGGAAGGGGCGGGCGAAGAGTCGCTGCGATTTATTTCCGCACACGGAGCCTGACCTGCGTTCCGGATCCGCTCCTTGTACTGCTGGTCCAGCTTTTTCATCCTCTTCTGATATTCCTGCAATGTACCTGATGTTGAGCATTTACAAGATAAAAACGTTACTTTCAAGATTAATCTGTTCTACATTTTGTTACCCCAAGTCTTCGAGCCCAGGGACCTAGTAACATCAGGGAGAAACACCAACGCCCCGGACACCCCACGGTGCTCACTGCACTCAGCTCTCCCCCACAGTGCTCACGGCGCTCGGCTCTCCTGCACACCCACCCCTTCCGAGGAGGCCGTGCGCTCCGGCAAGTGACAGGAGCAGGAGAACAGGCAGAGAGGTGACTCCAATCACATGCTGCTGCCGCTGGAACCAACAAGCCTCCCTTCCTGCAAAAACGCAGTGTCCTGCCGTGGAGAGCAGCACTTCCCAGTGAGCGATGACAGCCCAGAGGGCACCAGGACGGGGGAGAAGGGGGAAGGGGCCGGAAGTAGCCCTGGGAAAATAAGGGGCATATCCAGGAGCGGGGGAGACAGCTCAAAGGTCAGAGCACATGCTCTGCTGCCTGCGGCCCGGGTCCATCCCTGCCACTGCTTGCTCTCACCCCAGCCTCAAGGTAAGAATAGCCCTTGGGCACGGCCGGGGTGGCCCCTGAATCAAAACAAACCAACCACAGCAGCTGAGGGGCTCGTGTTCACCTGCTGGGGAAAGGGGCGTGTCCAGAAGGGTGCTAAGTGCCCTCTGCTCCTCCTGAAAAGGGGGCAGTCGGCCAAGAAAATCTGAGAACCTCTGGTCTGGACCGACGTCCTCCAGAAGAAACTGCTCAAACACCGAAAATGCTCTCAAACGCTCTGCCCTGTAGGGCAGCCACGGGCCCGTGCGGCCAGAGAGCGAACAGAAGGGAAGCCTTTGCTTTCGTTCCAGTTAAAAGGCTTCACGTGGGTGGGTCAGAGAAATATTACAGCAGGTAGGGCACCCGCTTTGCACACGGCCAGTCTGCCTTGGACCCCTGGTAGCCCTGCAGGAGTGATCTTTGAGCACAGCGCCCGGAGTTAAGTCCTGAGCACTACTAGTGGGGGCCCAAAACCAAAGTTTCTAGAAAAAGTAATAAGATTAGGGGCCAGAGCACTACAGCAGGTAAGGCTGACGCAGGCTTGATCCCCGGCACGTCACAGGGTCGCCCGAGCCCTGCCAGGTGTGATCCCTGAGCACAGAGGCAAAAAGCCCTGGGAGCACCACTGGGTGTGGCCCAGAAACCAAAAAATGGAAAAACAAAAACAAAACAGGATACTGGATTCACACTTGGAGGTGAGACTTGAACCGTAAGTTCATGACCTACATGCCAAACTGCTTTCGGCAGCAACAGGCAAGCGCCAATCCATTTTAGTCATGCAGGAGTCAGGACAGGAGATGGCGCGAGAGGGTTGGGTGCAGGCTTTGAATGGAGAAGCCCCGAATTCAATTCCTAGCACCACGTGGACACACGTTCCCCACTCCCAGCACCAACAGAAGCAACCCCAGAGTAATGTCAGGTGTGAACTGGCAAAACAAAGTATGGGGGGAAGGAGGGACCAGTAAGGCCAGCACACCACTCACAAGCACTCAGGCTGACCCCATTAGCACTGACTGTCACCGTCATGCTAGGAAACCTTAGGGTGAGGGGCGAGAGTGATAGCACAGCGGGGAGGGCCTTTGCCGTGCACAAGACCAGCCCAGGTTTGATCCCCAGCATCTCATATGGTCTCCCAAGCACCGCCAGGAGTGACCCTTGAGTGCAGAGCCAGGAGGAACCCCTGAGCATTGCCAGTGTGGGCACCCCCAACAAAAAAACTAAAACAAAACATTAGGAGAGGCAGAGCGACAGGATAGCAGGCAGGCCGTTTGCCTAGCAAACAGCCCACCCGGGTTCAAACCCTGGCACCTCCTTCAGTCCCCCGAGCCTACCAGGAGTGGGCCCTGAGTCCAGCAGGGTGAGAGCCCAAAACCAAAATAAATAAAAAGTAACAAACTTCAGGGGGAAGACCATCAGAGAAGCTGGACGCCAGACACGCGGGGCTTCCAGAAAGGCTGTCGGTGCCTGCTGGGCCGAGCAGGGAGAGGGAGACCCACGCAAACACCAAGCCAGGGAGGAGGCACGGAGACTGCGGGGCGCTAAGGCCTGTGACATTAGAACATCTGGGACTGCAGGGGAAACCCCGCACCCACCTTCTTGCAGCTGCTGCAGCTGCCTCTTGAGAGAAGCCAGCTTGTCCTGGTACATCCTGCAGAGGAGAGAGAGGCGCGTGAGTGAGACGGCCGGCAGGACCCGGTGCCGGAACAACCCCACACCAGACTGTCCCGGGGGGCCACTGGGGACCTAAAGGAGAGGACGAAATCCCCACCCACTGGCCAGTCTCAAGCGCACCAGCGCGCGCAGGAGGGAGGCAACATGGGCCAAGGACGGGCTCCGTGCTCATCATCCTGACTCCGCAGCATGTGGCATCGCTACCGCTGGACAGCCCGGGTAAGCCTCTTGGACCCGTGTCACTGTGGGTGGCACAGTGCCTGGGTCAGCCTCTCTATAAGTTTGGAACTTTGTTTTTGAGTTTTTTTGGCTTTTTGGGTCACACCCGGCAATGCACAGGGGTTACTCCTGGCTCTGCACTGAGGAACTCCCCCTGGCGATGCTCGGGGAACCATATGAAATGTTGGGGATCGAACCTGGGTAGCCCGCATGCAAGGCACACACCCTCCCAGCTGTGCTATCGCTCCAGCCCCCAGTTTGGAGCTTAGGAAAGTCAAAATCGGGGGCCAGACCCAGAGTACAGGGGGGAGGGAATCTGCCTTGCCCACAGGCAACCTGGGTTCAATCCCACACATATACAAAATACAATGATACTGTTAAAAAAAAGTCAAAACAGTTACTCTTAGAATAATTAAAAGAACTTAGGAAAAAAAGAAAACGTGATGCCATTTTCCTGCCTATCGTAACGCACAAGGGGACTGAGAAATGGCACCAAACACAGCTCTTCTCGCAACTCCCCGATTAAATCGCAAGTTCCGAAGGAGCTGATCATACCTTCGGCACAGTTTTCTACTTAGACAGCATAGCTGCGCAAGACTAAGTTAATGAACGTTGTCATAGCTTAAAAGCACTGTTCCTTTAGGCTCAGAGGAGTACCAGAAGTTAAATACGCAGCTTTATTTGAGCCCAGCTGGGTAGGCGCGACCCACGCCAAAGACCCAGGCACCAGCGACCTTCCCCGCAGCCACGGGCCACAGGCCAGTCTGGCCCCACACGAGCCTGCCAAAGTCCCGATTCCAGGGACTGAAACAGGCCTGTGGAGCGACAGCACAGCAGGGAGGGCGCTTGCTTGGCACCAGCCAGAACCAGGTTCGACCCCCCTATATCGTCCAGCCGAGCACCACCAAGAGCAAGTCCCGAGTGCAGAGCCAGGAGTAAACCCTGGGCATCGGCGGGTGTGGCCTGGCAGCTGCTGGAAGAACCCGGGTGGCAGGGCAGGTAGCAGGCACTATGGGGGCTAAGGAACAGTCTCGCCCTGGAACAGAGTCCCCAGGGCAAGGAGCCCTGCAGTCGACTCATGCTGTTGCGGGGGGCGAGGGCTGATTCTTCTGGGGAGAAACTGGAGGTGCTCTTAGAACCCATCCTCGCTCGCAGAGATAAGCCAGTCAGTGCAAGGCTTATCTCCTCTAACAAAAGTAGAGGGGCGGCTTTTGGAAAACAGTATGGACGAGTCTCAAAAAATTAGAAATTAAGCTCCCATCTGACCCAGTAATACCACTCCTGGGATTATATCCCGGAGACGCAAAATGTATAGCTGAAATGACATCTGCACTTGTATGTTCACTGCTGCACCGTTCACAATAGCCAAAATCTGGAAAACACCCGAGTGCCTGAGAACAGATGACTGGTTAAAGAAACTTTGGTACATCTACACAATGGAATACCATACAGCTGTTAGAAATGATGAAGTCATGAAATTTGCAAACAAGTGGTTCTACATGGAAAGTATCACACTAAGTGAAATGAATCAGAAAGAGAGGGACAGACATAAAAAGACTGCACTCATCTGGGGAATAAAAAGTAACAGAATGGGAGATGAACACCCAATAGTTGAGATAGGTACCAGGAGGTCTGCTCCATGGCTTGGAAACTGGCAACACATGCTGGGGGAAAAGGAAGCTCAGATAGAGAAGGGAACACCAAGTAAAGGGTTTTTGGAGGACTTGCTTGGGATGCGAGATGCATGCTGAAAGCAGACTACAGACCGAACATGATGGCCACTCAATACCTCTATTGCAAACCACAATACCCTAAAGAACAAAGAGTGAGCAAAAGGGAACGTCCTGCCACAGAGGTTGGGCGGGGTGGGGGGAGCATGAGGGGGGTGGAAGGGCTACTAGGTTCATTGGTGGTGGAGGATGGGCACTGGTGGAGGGATAGGTACTTGATCACTGCATAACTGAAACCCTAGCACGAAAGTTTCTAAGTCTACAACTGTACCTCATGGTGTTTCACTAATTAAAAAAAAAAAAAAGAGGGACTGGAGCAATAGCACAGCAGGTAGGGCGTTTGCCTTTCACGCAGCCAACCCGGGTTCGATTCCCAGCATCCCATACGGGCCCCCGAGCACCGCCGGGAGTAATTCCTAAGTGCACAGTCAGGAGTAACCCCTGTGCAACTCCTGGAGTGACCCAACAAGCCAACTAAATAAACAGGGGCACAAACAAACTGGAACGAGTTTCTCTAAAGAATACGCCACGTGAGCACGTGCTGCCCGCGCCCAACTCTCCCCTCGTGAGATGTGGATTTTCACGCTTTTGTGTCTAATGCTGGGGTCTGTGCAGGGGGGGCCCTCTGCCCTTGGAGAAGCCCGCGTTCCCTCCTGAGCCAGTTACTCTCTCTCGCTCGCTTTCTCTCCCTCCTCACCTCAAAAACCTCGAAATAAAATGTTTTACTTCAGAAAAATAAAAGAACACTTCCACACACCAAGTACGGGAGAGGGAACGGCCCGGCAGATCACTCATGAGAAAAGTCACGTCTGGGCAAAGCGTATTTCACCCATGCTGGATGTGCCAGACACGGACCTGGAATCCTAAGTGAGTCTCCCAAAGAGAATAGGAATGAACTGAAGAAGCAAACGGGGGAAAACAAAAAACACAGATTCGCAGACTGACGGGTGGGGGAGCCAGTCTGCAAAAATACGTCTACACGCGGGGCCAGAGCGACAGCACGGTAGCAGGGGGTTTGCTCTGAGGAGACCCAGGTGGGTCGCTGCCACCCCCCACCCCGTGTAGTACACAGAGCCCTGCCAGGAGGGAGCCCCGAGCCGCCAGGGATGGTGCAAGGAAAAAACACAAAACAAAACAAAAGCAGACACCCCAAAATACACCTCGACATCCATCAGTGAAGAGGCTGAAGCACGAAGGCTGGGTACAAAGCGAGAGAGTGTGTGGAAACCTCCAGTCAAACTTGGCTGCGGGGGGTGGGGGGAGCGGCAGAGGATACTCTGGAGGGGAGGGCGTTTGCCTTGCACACGGCCAAACCAGGTTTGAGTCCCAGCATCCCATAGGGTCCCCCGAGCAACGCCAGGAGTGATTCCTGAGTGCAGAGCCAGGAGGAACCCCTGAGCATCTCCAGGTGGGACCCAAAAACCAAAAACAAAAAACAAACTTGGCTGAGCAAGAGCTGTGGGTTTCCAAGGCCCAGGAGGCCACTCTGCCGGCCCAGCACCTGGTCACCTGCCCGCATGGCCCTTGGCTCCATCTCCAAGACGCCAAGAGGCCCTCCTGCCCCGCAAAGCCCGGGAAGAAAAGATGACCCAAGGAAGGTCACGGAGCACCGGGGAATAGCAGCTAAGGAAAGAGATGGCCCCTCTGAGGGAGGAGGGACTTTAAGCCAAACACGGATACATGGCTGGGGTTTCTCCAGCCAGACTGGGTGAGGGGAAAGTGCCAGACAGTCCGTGTGGCTGAGAGAGAGGGGCGGCCCTCGGGGTTCCCCAGGCCTCACAGCACGGGCCCCCTCTCATCAATGATTCCCAGAGCTTTAGAAAGTGAGGAGCACAAGCAATAGGAAATGAGTGATTGAGGGGCTGGAGCGATGGCACAGCGGGGAGGGCGTTTGCCTTACATGCCGCCACCCCAGGCTCGATTCCCAGCATCCCTTATGGTTGCCTGAGCACAGCCAGGAGCAATTCTGAGTGCAGAACCAGGAGCAACCCCTGTGCATCGCTGGGTGGGACCCAAAAAGCAAAAAAAAAAAAAAAAAAAAAAAATGATTGCAGGTCTGCCATGGGGGCAGGGAGACTGGGGTTGGGTTGGAATATTGAATGCCCGTGACAAATCTCCACGAACCATTTCATAAACCACAGTGTTCATATACAGCGTAAGGGGAAATTCACATTACGTAGGTCCTACCTATTCCATGTAAACTCCAAAATATATTAACACAGAAGTGCTTTAAAAGTGTTATTAGTCGGGGCTGGAGTAATAGCACTGCAAGTAGGGAGTTTGCCTTGCAAGCGGCCTACCCAGGTTTGATTCCCAGCATCCCATATGGTCCCCCGAGCACAGCCAGGGGTAATTCCTGAGTGGAGAGCCAGGAGTATAACCTGAGCATTGCCGGGCATAACCCAAAAAGCCAAAAAAAAAAAAAGTGTTATTAGTGACAGGTGAGACACAATTATTAGCATAACGAGATCCAAGTAAAATATAAAATTTAATGAGATATACTTTATTTTTTAGATTTTATTTGGTTTCCCTTTTTTGGTCACACCTGGCGATGCACAGGGGTTACTCCTGGCTCATGCACTTGGGAATTACTCCTGGTGGTGCTCGGGGGACCATATGGAATGCTGGAAATTGAACTCGGGTCGGCCATGTGCAAGGCAAACGCCCTATGCGCTGTGCTATCACTCCAGCCCCTAATGTGATATACTTTAGATTCCAGACCTGAAAACGTACATGTAAAGGAGAATGCGCACTTTTATACTGTATTAAATGTTTTTAATTTTCTTATTTACATAGGCCAAAATCATATAGTAATCATTAATTTAGCCCTTACTGATTTCTTTTCTGATCATTCTACTTGCCAGTTCTTAAAGGTTTGTTGGAATAAGCAACATAAAGTAGATTTGTCCTGTGCCTAAGAGGACAGGTTGGGACTGGGAGGCAAACTGGGGATATTGGTGGAGGGAAGGTCACACTGGTGGTGTTGGAACACTAAACGCTTGAAACAACTGTACAACGAACGACTTTGCAAATCAGTGCTCTTAACAAAAATCAATTTAAAAAAAAAATGAGAAGCAGGGGCCAGGAGGTGGTCCAACTGCAGTGCATGACTGGCGTGAACCCGACCCAGGTTCCCGGCACCACTAGATGCCCCAAAGCATCACGAGGGGCGACCCAGGAGTCCCCAACACCACATCCTCAGGCCCGTGACGTGGACAGCCCAGTTGGCGGATAACCCTCAGCGGCGCCACAGGACCCCTACCCCCATCCCCACTGCACTCACAAAAAAAGGGAAGGTGGGACTAGGAGGGAGGCCAGCAATAGGAAGGGGGGGTGAGTATTTGCTAACCCCAGTGAGACCCCCAGCACGGCACAGAGTCCCCAAAGCACCACGTGAGCACCACCAGGTGAGGCCGGACACCCACTCTCCTGGGACCCTGGGCCGGAACGACAGTTCAGCAGGTAGGTGCAGGCGCACAGCCAACCCAGCTTCAGTACAAGGCAATGTGGACCCCTGAGCACTATCAAGTGTGTGCCCCCTCCCACACACACACAGTAGGAAATTGGGACTGGGGAGGCAGGGGCCGGCTCACCAGTGGAGAGCAAACACTTCACATGCAGGGAATGGGGGGTTAATCCTCACGGCCACCAACACAGCACTGGGAACGACACCAAGAATCGCTATGTATGGCCCCAAACACATGGAAAACAATCAGTGTGGGAAACAGTTCTCTCCCGGGCCTTGCATGCCTGGGGTCACTTCCCTCGGGTCCCTTCAACCCAAAGCTCAGAAGATTCTGGAGCAGAAGACGCAGACGGCCAACTGTATACACGTGGACGGTCTTTGGGAACATGGGTTCAAACCACACACACCAGGTGACCATGAACATTTCCCTGCTGGCTCTGGGGCCTGAAAAACTGATATTGGGAAGTCCTACTCACTGTTCCTTCATCTCGACGTAGTCTTCCTCGTCATGCTTGGCCAGGTCAGTCTCACTGGCATCCTCGGTGTCTGGACAGAGATGGGGAAGAGGATGTGTTAAATTCGCCACTCACTGGTCACCTTTGCCAGTAACTTTGGTGTCTGTGAAATGAATTTCTGCTCAGGACAGGTTCATGTGTAGTCACAGAACAAGATGACAGAGTCCCACACAGGCAGCCTGGTGCCAAGGGTTCATCTCAGCCGAGCCAAGAGCTATCTGCCCCACACACAGCGATAGCAGGAGGCCGCAGGGATAGTACCGCAGGTAGGGTATTACCCTGCACACAGGCGACCTGGGTTCAATCCCAGCATCCCATCCCCAGACGGCCCCTCCGAAAACTTCTGGCAGTAGGCCCTGAGCACAGCTGTGACCCCATAAATAGAGCAGAACAAAAAAAACAGGCAGCTGGGGTAAAGGTCTAGGCTGGTACACTCAGACAGGGGCAGTTTAGCTAAAGTGGGTGGGGGGCTGGCAGCCAAAGCAGCCCACCCTTGCTCCAGGCCACCCTCCATCTCAATTAAGTTGCCCGCGGCTGCATTTTATATCATTCAAGGGAGACTCCAACACAGGGAGCTGGTTTCAAGAACTGAAGTTATCTTCAAAGTGGCAACTGAGGCGAAGGCAAAGGAAACAAACAGAAACTGTTTCCAAACATTTGAAACATTGTTCTTAGGATAAGTGAGGGGTTTCCAGACTAACTTCAGCCCTAAGCAAAGGGCGGGGTGGGAAAAAAAGTAAGTTTTGCCTCGTGGCTCCCCCTGGTGGCTGCTAAAGAGCAGTGCAGGGGACTCCCACAAACACAAGCAGTTGGAGCCCATCAGCTCCTCCAAGGGGCGTCTGCACACACAGCGGCCTATTCGTTACGTTGGGGGGCGGGGCGGGGGGAGGCACCTGGGTAGTGCTCGGGGGCTACACCCTGACACCCAGCTCTGTGCTCGGGGCATCCCAGGCCGTGCCAAAGGGCAGAACCCGGGCCTCCCGCACGCAAACCGGGAGCTCCGGCCCTGCGCCGGCCTTTTCATTCCCTTCTCGGCCCTGGAAAGCCCGTTTCGGACCCAAGTCTCCATCCAGAAACAGCTGCCTTGTTCTTCAGGCCAGGGCCGTCACTGAGACCCCGGCACACGCCAGCTGCCCTCCTCTCGCGCCCACCCGCCACCCCGCCCGGCCAGGCACTTGGGCAGCAGAGACGAGTAAAACGCTCCCCTCGCAGGCCGCGGGCCCGGCTTTCGGCGCCCCAGGGGACGCCCCCCGACACACACGCACCCCGACCTGGACGGTGTCTCTGGGTCTCCCCGCCCGCTCCCACCCCGCCGACACCTCCCGGCTGCCCGGCCGCGGAGCCCCGTGGGAGGAGCCGGGCTCCGGGGGGCGAGCAAGGCCGACTACACCCCAGGGGGCGGCCCGACCCCCAACCCCAGTCCCCGCGCAGCCCGCCCCACCGGGGCGGGGGGCGGAGGGAGGGGGTGGGGGTGCGGGAAACGCCCGGCGGGACCCCGGGCGCGGGCGGGGGCTGCAGGCTGCTGGGCCCGGGGGTCGGGGAGCCGGAGGCGGACCTCGGAGGGGGCCCCCCGACCCCCCGCTCGCACCTTCGTCCGACTCGCGGCCCCGGCAGCTGCGCTCGTCGTCCTCGGCGCTCTCCAGCTCCTCGTCCTCCTCGGGGTAGAACTCGGGCGCCGGCGGCGCGCCGGCCGGGGCCGGGGCCGGGGCCAGCAGCCCCGCCGCGCTCATGGCGCACCCCGCGCGCCGCAGGCCAAGTCGGGCAGCGGGAGCCGCGGCAGCCGCGCCGGCGCCCCCGTCCCCGTCCCCGTCCCGGTCCCCGCCGTCCCCGTCCCCGTCGCCGCCTCCGCCGCCGCCAAGCTCCGCCCCCTCCCGCCCGCGCTCCGCAGCGGGGCCTCGCGCCGCCGGCCACTTCCGGGTCGCGGGCTGCCCGCCGCGCGCCCGACCCCGCGGGGCCCGGAGGGAGGGTCGCAGCCGCCCGAGCGCCGCCGCCTCTTCGCCGCCTTGCAGCCCGCTCCTGCGTCGCCGTCCTGACACTCTCGACCGGCGGTGTGGCGGGGCGGAGGAGGGCGCGCCCTTTCGGGGCAGGCAGGCGTCGGGCAGCCCCGACCGCGGCGAGGACCCCCGCGGCGAGGACCCCGCGGCTTTGGCGGAGAACTTCCGGAAACGGCCGCCAGGCGGCGCCTGGAGCCGAAAGCCGCGGCTAGGCCGGTGCGTCCTCCGAGGCAGAGGGCGTGAAGGGTCCTTGCAGGTGCGGAGGGCGCGGATGGAAGCGGCTGAGCCGCCCCCTCCGTCCCGGTCCCCCCAGAAAGGCAGCCTGGCCCTTTCCGTGGGTCGCGATCAACCCGGCAGGATGGGGCCCGCAAAGACAAGGATGCTGCCGCTGCATCCGAAAGGGGGTTCTCCCAGTCGGCGGGTCCTTTCAGCTCAGTGGGTTTACTCTAGCGACAGGGCCTGCCCCCTTTTTCAGATGACAAGAGTTGTCACTTGCCTTTTTAAAAAGGTGAAGGATACTACAGCAGGTGGGGCGTTTGCCTGGCACCTGCCCGACCTGGGTTCAATCCCCAGCACCCCGTATGGTCCCCCAAGAATAAGCACCTCCAGAAGTAAGTCCTGAGCATCACCCATTGGGTGTGTGTCTAAACAGAAAAAAAATAAGAAAGAAAGAAAGACAAAATTAATTAAAATGTTTAAATGGTGAGTCAGAGAGACAATACAGCAGCCAGGGCACTTGCCTTTTTTTTTACACCCAGTGATGCACAGGGCTTCCTCCTGGCTCACGCACTCAGGAATTACTCCTAGTGGTGCTGGGGGACCACATGGGATGCTGGGAATCGAACTGGGTGGGGCACGTGTAACACAACCGTCCTACCCGTTGTGCTATCTCTCCAGCCCAAGGGCCTTTTACCAAGCCAATACCAGTTGGATCCCCAGCACCCTGTATGGTCCCTGAACACCTCCAAGAGTGATCTCTGAGCACAGAGCCAGGAGTTAGCCCTGGGCATCTCAGCTCTGGCCGTAGACTGCTACCATCCTGGTGCTACCGGGCTTGTTTAGGCTTCAGATCCAGCCCTACTCTGCAGTCCGGTAGACTCTTATTCCTTCGAATGTTGATTCGCTTCGTTTGGTGGAAGGGGGGGGGGACAAACCCCACAGCAGGAACGAATAATCATCAGACTAAGGCTCACACTTTGCAGGAGGACTGGATTCATTCCCCAGCACCCCCAGGAGTGATCCCCAGTTTCGATCCACCAGGAAAAATACTCCTGAACACCACCAGGTGTTGCCCAAAAAGCAAAAATAAATAAATAAATAAAAGGCGGTTTTAGTGCCGTCAAGTGCTAAGTAACTCTCCACCGAGCAAATGGGGCATCTGCCTCCAGGAAGCATTGGGCAAATGGAACGAAGGTGCTGTGTGCACGGTGGGAAAAAGAAGGCGATTTTCTGCCTTAGTTCACGACTGCTTTCCTCTGCAAGGACAGGGAACAAAGAGAGGGGGGGCCTTGCCAGGTGTGTGCAGCAAGAAAGAGATTTAAGAGCCCAGAGTGTTTGGTGACTTGTCCAAAGCAGCCCCCTCAGAGCTGGTTAGATGGCTCCGAGGGCTGGAGCACGTGCTTTGCTTGTGAGGGTCCCTGGGTTTGGCCCCCTGGGACGACAGCATGGCACACATAGACCCCCGCCTTCACCCCCGCCCTGGAGCTGTGATAAAGTAAAACGATAAAAGTAACCCTCAGCTCTGTGGTGCGAAGTGGAACGCTCCTTAAATCCGCTGTGAAATGTGTGCTCTGAATCTTTGATTTTTGTTTTTGTTTTGAGGCACTGGTGGGTCTAACCCAGGCGCCCATCAAGCTGTGGGCCTCATTCTGATTCACTAATCTTTGAGGCACAAATATATCTGCATTGCCCACCCCCCCCACACACACACACACCCTGGAGTGATAGCACAGCGGTAGGGCGTTTGCCTTGCGAGCTGCCCACACGGCAAAGCCTGGCAAGCTACCCGTGGTGTATTCAATATGCCAAACACAGTAACAACAAATCTCAAAAAAATGGAGACGTTACTGGGCCCGCTCGAGCAAAACGATGAACAACGGGAAGAAAGTGTTTGTTTGTTTGCTTGTTTGTTTGTTTGTTTGTTTGTTTTGCCCACCCCCTTAGAATCTTTTCACAGTGTGGGGCCGAAGCAATAGTCCAGCAGGAAGAGCGTTTGCCTTGCATGTGTTGACCCTGGTTGAATCCCCGGAATCCCAATATGGTCCTCCGAGCACAGCCAGGAGTAATTCCTGAGTGTAGAGCCAGGAGGAACCCCTGGGCATCGCTGGATGTGACCCAAAAAGAAAAAATAAAAAAGAATCTTTTCACAGTGAAAATAAAAATATGACTCGGGTTCTTTGTTTTTTCCCCCATTTCTACACCATGTTTCCTCTTTGCCTTCCTGGTGTTTGCTGCGATGATTAGGGTTCTTGGGTGGCCCTTAGGGGTACCCTGAAGGGCCAAGGCCTCTCTAGGGGGGATGCCTTCGTCCCCAATGGCAGAGACCACAGGATGGCACAGTGCCAGTGGGAGTGTCAGGCTCTAAGGCTGGGCTTGCTTAAGCCTGTAACTGCCGCTCGAGCGGACCCAGTAACGTCTCCATTGGAGACTTTGTTGTTACTGTGTCTGGTAACTGCCGCAGTCGGCCTGAATACCAGCCTAACTGACCCCATCGCTGTTTACTTGATCAGATTGGGGGTCACAGCAGTGCTCAGGGCTTACTCCAGGCAGTCTTGGGGGGCCACATGGAGAAGGGGTAGCAGGGATCAAACACAGGTTGGCGTGCAGGCAAACACCCTGCCGCTGTAATATCGCTGCGGCCCCCTGACCGTTACTATGTGCTGGCTTCTGGGCTCAACTAAAGCAAGCCCTTAGCACCTGTCTGCCTCTGCAGGAAACTGCCATCTTCCCCCTGACTACACGTGAATCCATCTTGAGTAGAAATTCCAGTTATATACGTTTAAGTTACTGACAGGTGACACCAATTCAGTGAATCAGAATTTTATTTTATTTTATTTTATTTTTATTTTTGGGTCACACCCGATGATGCATAGGGGTTACTCCTGGCTCTGCACTCAGGAATTACTCTTGGCGGTGCTGGGGGACCATATGGGATGCTGGGAATCAAACCGGGGTCAGTGCGTGCAAGGCAAATGCCCTACCCGTTGTGCTATTGCTCCAGTCCTGTGAATCAGGATATTAACAAATCCTCTTCCCCACCTTTATTCAGATGCCGAGGATGCGAGTGAGACCTGGCCAATGAAGAAGACTACATCGAAATGGAGAAATGGGGGCTGGAGCAATAGCACAGCAGGTAGGGCGATTACCTTGCACACAGCTGGCCCAGGTTCGATTCCAAGCATGCCATATGATCCCCCGAGCACTGCCAGTAGTAATTCCTGAGTGCAGAGCCAGGAGCCAGGAGGAGCCCCTGTGCTGAGTGTGACCCAAAAAGCAAGCAAACAAACAAACAAACAAAAACATGAAGTTTAGAATTAGGAAGTATTGCTCCAGAAATGGTCATGAGTTGACATGAGTTGACAGCCAGCCATTGTGGGATATGGTGTGAGTATGGCTGCCAGGACTTCCCAGAGTAGAAGGGAGGAGACTGCCCATCCCCACTCTGAGAAGTCCACAGTGTTCTCACCCTAAAGAGCACTGTATCTGGAATTTTGGGTGGGTTGGCATCTCTGCAGAGCTTAGTGGCGTTGGGCCCTGGGCATGGTGGCACCTGTGGAGGTGTGTCTGTGGCTCCCAGACTTCAACAGGGAAGCCAGAGTTTTCAGCTGGCAGACCGGTGTACCTGTGAATTTCAGCGTTTTGGTGAGCTCTTCTGAGATTTAATCGTGAGTCTATCAAGCTGGGCCAAGGGCACCGGAGGTGGGATATATAAAGTGAGTTTTCTTTTTTTCTTTTCTTTTTTTCTTTTTGGGTCACACCTGGCGATGCTCAGGGGTTACTCCTGGCTCTGCACTCAGGAATTACTCCTGGCGGTGCTCGGGGAAATCATATGGGATGCTGGGAACCGAACCCAGGTTGAACGCGTGCAAGGCAAGCGCCCTACCCACTGTGCTATTGCTCCAACCCCTATAGATGGTTTTTGACAGACAATGTTCTGTCACTGATCCCACCACCAGAATGTCAACTTTCCTCCACCAATGTCCCCAGGGTCCCTTTCCTACTTGTCGCCCCCCTCCACCCCTGCCAGCCCCAGCCTGCCTTATGCACCTTTTAGTTTGGTTAGTAAGTTTAGGTCTCGTGATTTCAGCGTCGTTGAGTCTGGATATTACCCACTGTACTATCTCTCTGGCCTCTCAGGGATCACTTTTGGCAGGCTCACGGGACTATGTGAGTTGTAAAACCCCAAGGTTCTGAGGTTTTTAACCTTTTAATCTTATTTCTCTCTTCCTGGCGGCAAATAACATCTGCTGGGATTAGAGAGATCTAACTCCAAGGGCTGATTGCATGCTCTGCATGGAGAAAGTGCAGGATCAACCCTAGTACTGCTGGTGTCCCCAAGTACTGCTGGGTGTGGCCCCAACACATAAAAAAACAAATGGCATCTGTTTATGGCCATTCATTAACCATGGTCAAGAAGGAAAAAAATTTAAATATGAATTACCATAAGTGAACACCTGGTGAGTAGTGACTTCCTTCATTTCCTTAAGCCACTTTGCCAGTGCAAAATAGAACAATTGCGCTCTCCTGGGCCATACCTGCTACTGTTCTGGGGCCTGTTTCCTGGAGTGTT